AAAGTATACTGATCATATTTATTTTTTCTATGAAATCTTGACTCACACAATAGCTTCTTTATCACTTGCTAATCATTTGCTCATTAAGTTACTACACAAGTAGACCAGACTATTTTCAGAAGATGTTGGAGTATGTATTGTACACATTACTTTTTCACCAAGTGTAAATTGTTTTACGTGTTGCAGAAAGAAGCCAGTTTGTATTTCAATGGTCTTTTATCAACTTTGTTTTCGATTAATAAGGATTCAAAATTAAAACAAAGTACAACTGGAAAATATTTTGGGACAAGTATATGGTTAAGAGGCGTACACTACAAAACTTATGAAAAATAACTTACACTTTAGAAATCATTATACATTAGTTATCGACTATAAAGAAAACTAGGTTAACTACTAAACCTTGAATCATTAAACTCAATATAACATTTTCACTTGTTCTTGTATTGAAAACTGTAGTTGTCTGGAGAGTTTATAAGGGGTCAAATATGTCCCCATAGGGATAAGGATTTGTAATTTGATTTTACCACCATCACCTGCGTTTATTTAATACCATCAGCTTCATAACTGTCTTTAACCATTCTGTGAATGTCTTGTTTGGATCTCTAAATGTTCAAAAAACAAAAGAAGCAAGCTTGAAGGGTTAACTCGCGTACCTGCTAAATATGCTATTATCTTAAAAATATGTGAGAACCATTAACTTGTAGCAGAAATTGCTCCTTTTAATAATATATCAATTCAAACTTTGTTTCTTTTGTTGTTAAATAGGAAGATGAGCAATGAGTTATCTGTGCTATATCAACAGCAGGGATTAGACCTTGTATTTCAGCATTATAAGCTTTCAAGTTTACTGCTAAGCCATTTAGCTGATTGAACAAAAATAATAATGAATCAAAATTTTCTTCTTTCTAAGTCACCTTGCAACTAATAAGAATTATAAGCCGAAATATAGGATAAAACTATTTAATGATTATTGAAGATGAATAATGGAAATTAGTAACTACTTAATTATTAGACGTAGTTTACCATACAGATTATTAACCATGTCAATTAGAACAGTGCAATGTTTCCATCTTCCGTTTGGATATCACCTTTATTTTAGGACCCTGGCTAACACCTTTTCCGAATATAATATTAAGTCCTCTCGAGAAACTCATCTGCGCTTTTCTTCATTTGTAGCTTCTCTCCTTTTGTAGTATTATTCTCTCTTTTTCTAGAAACACTTTAAAACTTAATCTTTGTTAATTACTTCTCACCCTTCTTTTTACGGTCTACGTACCACGGCAGATATATTGTTCTAAGTTAATCCGTGTTACTTTGGATGTTTTTTTGAGTGGACAGACCATCCACGGATGATGCATTTATTTGAGAGTTATAATTCGTATTTACTAAACGATATTATACGATTTTATATCCATTAAAATCAAAGATAACAACAAATTTACAACACACAGTATTTTACACACACACATCTCAATTTGAAGAAACTTTATGAGTTCTTAAGGCCATCACTACAGTGATATATCATACCCTTAAAAAAAAATGCTTTTGTTGTGAATAAACTTTTTTTCAACAAACGTTCTAAGACATGAACCGACAGAAAGATCCATGGATAACATGAAAGTCCATCAACTACTTCATTCTTTTTTCAGTATAGTTTTAGTTTAAGAACCAAAAGGTCAACCTTTTAAAGCTCATTATATAGTGGTGATATGCACTCCTCATATGTCTAAGTCGAACAACCAGGCTATGCTCATTGAATTGTTTGTTTGAAGTTAAGCACAAAGCTACACAATGGACTATCTGTGCTCTGCCCACCACAGGCATCGAAACCCGGTTTCTAGCATTGTAAGTCCGCGGACATTCCGTTGTGCCACTGGGGGGCTGCTCACTGAATACACCAGTTTCAGGTTGACCATGAAAGTAAAAGCAAAAGTACTAGTTCGCTTGTACTATGGTCAAACATTGTTTTTAAATAATGGAGCAGTGATACTTCCATGGTACTTTTATATTATTTTTTGTGAAAAGTTTCAGGGTTTGAAACGTAGCAGCAGCATCGTAGCTCCTAACACCAGAGTTATTTGAGAGTGTTTAAACCACTAAACGCCTGCCCACAAGCGATAAACCAAATGAAGTTTCTAGTTGAATTTTAAGTAAATTTGTATAGGATTTTGTTAGGAATAAAAAACATTGAAAGAAACATTCTACAGGATCCTTTAGAACCCGTAAAACGTGGATATGATGTTTGTAATTAAGTAGTTGGAAATCCACTACACTCATTTTTGCAGTTCTGAATGCAAGTTGAACTTTTCCATCTCCAACTATTAAACTTAGATATTAAACAGTTGCATATCCAATCTGAGATTTCAACTTTCTAAGACCAAATTAGCAGTTTAGCTGTATGTGAAATGTTCTTTCCATGTCGAACAAAAGGTGATAATGTCATCGAAATGGGAAACGCATACTCCGAACTTTCCTTCCAAATTTCATAACTCTTAAAGATAAAGTTTCCATTGGTCTTGAAACCTAACTTGGGGAAGGACTTGAAAATTGTCAAGTTCACACTTCTTTGCCAGAATATTTTAGGAGAGTGACATTAAACTTCGATCTCACTCGATATAGTGAGTGAACCTCTCACAGAATGCTCTGTCTATACAGTTTATCTCCTCTTGGATTCAAACATTCATTCACGTGTTTGCCGTGTGTGGTAACCCCTGAAGAAGAGTATGGGATCCTAGTGGTTGAGAGGTATTGGGGCACTGTAACATACCACTTTAACCTTGAATTTTTGTAGACGGATAACCATGGGGTGGCCCCCACAGGGTTAATTGGCAGGTCCTGTGCGGCTAGGATCAACTGACTTCCAATACTGGACGTCCTCAATGGGTTTTGTAGACATTATATTTGATGTTGGTGTTTAGGTATTGTGCCCATGAAACCCTGGTGTAGCCATACTGTCCAAGTTTGACAGTGTGGCGCATATCCTTGTAGAACTCCATAGTGGTGGTTGGAGTACTAATTATTTTCTCATGGATAATCAAAGGAATGAAAATAAAAATAAAGTAAAACCAATAATTGAAAAATGGCCATACATGGAAGACTGTTCCACAGTCTCTATCTCAAACTCTTCCTGTACCTCACTTTTTGATAATACTTCATTTGTTGTCTGACAGATATTTAGGGCAGATGTTTCCCTCGTTGAAACATTTCGACCAGAATATAGTGAACTCCTCTTAAAATTGAAGTCCATTGGAGATATGCCTATTGAGATTGCTCACCTTGTTACTTTGAATTCCTTATGAAGAGTGGTCATCTCGTTGGCTTCTCCACTCAAGTTGTTTCAGCTGTCCAGCATGTATCCACTCAGAGAGATGAAATAAATGGTCTACCAACATTATTATTTGTCTCTGTCAAGGCAGGTTATCTCAACTGTAAGATATGGCCATATTTTCCTAACCCTCTCGGATGTTTCCAGTGTCAGCAGTTTTACGCTCTAAAACACCTTGTCATGGTACTTTGACGTCTACTTGTTGTGGTGGCAATGGTCACAATAGCTGCAAGTGTCAGTTGGACCCACATCGTTTTAAAAGCAATGGTTTCCATCCCTCCTACTTTCATTTATGCCCTAAATGGGCTGAGGAGAAAGAAATACAGCAGTTAAAGCCTGTTAACAAATTTCTTATCCCAAGACATTGAAGTTGTTCTCCTCTGTACCACCTTGGTCATAAGCTGTTACACTCCATTCCACTATTACAATTGTGGTGCAAACAGATTTTTCTGTACCTCCTACAGAATCCTTCTCTCCTCACATCAGTGGTCTTCTACCTTCCAAGGAAGGCTGGTAGTCAAGTCTATACCTACTCTAATCTCTGCCTTTACAGTAGAATCCATGGACTTGTTTTAATGTAACGTACTCAACCTCTGTACATTTGCCTGTAGGAAATAATATTACCTGAGAATGCCACATACTTGCTATTCGATATTTCATGCATGGCATCAAATGTATTATTCAAAGCCTATACTTCATATTTAAATTAATCGTCCAATTCAATGATACATTTCGAAAAATCAAAGGCACATTTTTTAACTTTAATGATCAACGATTAATGAAAATGAAAGTAAAAATATTATTTATTGAAATTGTAAATAGTTACTAGTATTTGGTTGTACAACTGTGTATATAGCAATTTTAATTATTAACTCTTAAGTGTCGCTTTAAAAGTAGATATGAGAAGTTAATATAGATGGCATTAGTAATTAATGTCTTTAAATCTTCATACTTCAAAATAAGAAATAATTTCCAATCCAAACAGTAAATTAAAATAAAGATTTAATAAAACATTTTATTTAGTGACTAACTTTATTGCTGAGAAAATTAAAACTATGAACAAACGTTTATACATCTGAATTCAAAATAAGTACTTGCTTCTAGCATAATAACTGATCGCCTCTTTCTGTTAACTAAAATAAAATATATTAAATTCCTATAATAATTAATAAACATTATTTTCTTCTTTAACCAGCAAGTTTTAAGTAAGCCATGGTATTAATATTGTATAATCATAGTATTTATATTGGATTTACAAGTTATATGACATAAATCTTTACTGCTACAGACAATTCCTCTTAAAAATCTTAAAGAACATATTTGAAGTTGCTATATATGAGATTGCTTTAAATGCGGTATATAATTAACATAAAGTTACGATCTTCCTTCATCTACAGACTGTAGCAAATCAGTTTTAGTGCAATAGGTGTCTCAAAAGTATTTGTTAATATAAATTTATATATCATCAAGATTAAAGTTACCTCTCATCAGTAGTTATTTCTATGACACAAAGAAAACATTTGCCAGTTAGCAGATTGCCTCCACATTTCGAATCGTAATGACATTTATTTTCAAACATTTTGAAGAAACAGTAAAGGTAATTTTTAAACTCAGGAAAAAATGTAAATTTTCAAAAGATTGGTATTGAAATCAGCGTATGTTTAAGTTTTCTTCCTGTTTTATAAAAAAACTTCAAAATTTAACAACTATTTATAACAGAGTCACAGATAAAGCAAGAAATCACGCTGAAAATTAATAAAAGTTCAAAATATTTTCCTTTTATATGATGAATAACAACGACACATCCAGTTTTTCTTTGCTGTAGTACACTTATCAAGGTGATTTTATTGTTCCTTGTTCCATGTACGTTATCTTATCATAACATGTAAGGATTTCATCAAAATCGGTATAACATCCCTTCAGATATCTGCAAATAACAAAGAAGTGTAAAAGCCCTACAGATACATTCACATAACAACAAATAAAGAACACATACATCAGTGTAGCAGCCTTTCGGGTACTTTCAAATAGCAAATTAGACAGTGAAGTAATAATCTTTCATGTATCTTTAAGTAATAACTAACAAACCAGATATTATCTAGTTAAGAAGTGAAAATGTAGGTAAGATTTCTTTGCCCTCTTTTTTAAATATCTTATGAAAACAAAAATGATTATCGAAGTTAATTGAGGCGATGTTAATTCTAACGTCTTTGGGCGAAATCTCCACAACACTAAACTTGAACATTTTGGGGGAGAAAATGTATGAACTGATCACCGAAAATTATACTACATTCGGACAGCATATCTTGGTTGTTGTGTTTTGTTTTTGAATCTCATTTTAATAGGAAGCAGGCCTGTCTTTGGCATTATTCACAGCCTGTATCTTGCTGTATATCTGTTGGAATAAGGGCTGAATGCTGAACTGGTTGTTAGTGTGTCGGAATTGTGTTTCTGAGGGTCCAGTGATCCATGTCTCATTACAGTAAAATTGAGCTCCACACTTGAGGACCGTGAATGTACTATAAGAGTTATAGTCAAATCCAACTATTCAAGAGTTGGTGGTAGATGCTGTTGATTACCTGACTTCCATCTAGCCTCTGATTTCATAATTAGGGATAACTAGAGCAGATAGCCCTTGTTTAGCTTTGCATGAATATCTAAAATCAAATTTTGGAATAGGCCGCTATTCCTTTTGCAATGCTTACCCAAGAACAGTAAAATATCACTGTTTGTCCTTTCTGCTCTTCAAGTAAAGTTCAAAACGTCCTAGAGAGTTTAAGTGGAATTTATAAAGGCTTGGGATTTTGGACAGTTTGTAGATATGGTATATGTTATGATAGGGTCCTCATACATTTCGAGCAATGTACTCAGTGCATTATCTACAAAATTATAACATGAATAGGCACTCATATTCCCATTACCTATTATCAGAAGGTCAAGTTCAAATCAACTAAATTAGACCCATACCAAGATTTTTTTTAACACCCACCCCAGTGGCTCGCGGTAGGTTTTCGGATTACGAAGCTGAAAGTACGGTTTTAATACCCGTATTGGGTAAAGCACAGATATCTCATTGTGTATCTTTGTGCTTAACAACAACCAAGTCATTCGTTCACCATTATTCTCTGTTAGAATGATGCAGTTATAGCCAAACATCCTTTGAACTGTTGTAAAAATTAATAAATATATAAAACTCGTCCATCTGTAGTAAAATGAGTAATAGGATGCGCTCCTCCACTTGAAGTTTTCTATTGTTTTTTTGTTTGTTTTTTTGTTTCGAAGAACAATACACCAAAAAGATGAGCTAATGATACTTTATATTCATGACTGTGATATGCAGTTTATGGAGCTATGGTCTTTTTGTGCAATCTATCAGCATAAAACTTTCTGCACACAGTAGATGCACCAGCTTGAAATCCTACTCATAGGTTTAATGGTAGCTGGGTAGCTGATATTTCACATTAACATATCTCATTCTTCCTTTTCCAATTAGCATGTCGACATGGAAGTGTGACTGCGTGCTTTGTCTTGATGGATACATACTTTAATGGCACACAATCCATACAAAAATAATATTTCCTCGCGGAATAATGGTATCAGCTGGTTAGTCAGATGGTATGCAGAATTCACTTTGGTAGATTTCTTGACTTTCATAGTAGTAAATTAATCATTATAGCTGTAGTCACCATAAAGCCCTTGAAAAATATTTTTGTAACGCTTTATACTCTTTCTTTAATGTTTTATCGCATGTAGGACAATAATAAATTGTCTGAATTTTCACAGTTACTTAAGAAAACATAAGCTTCTCCAATATAATACCGTATTTCCATTTTTGCAGTGACAGATACCATTCGCACAGCTTTTGACAGCTGGTTTTCCAATTGACAATATAGTTTGGAAGAAGCTTGCGTATATGATCTAAATCTCACTTTTGTAGACCTAAATGCACGTAGGTTGTTTCGTTTACTGTCCCAGAAGAGGCTACTACTTCATCTACAATAAAAAGTTGTGAGCTTGGGTTACTTTCAATGACAAGCTGTTTAAATCTCTTCAATAAATTTTTGTGCACCTACTAGCCTATCAAACAATAACCTATTTCTCCTTGCTGGAATCACAACTTGTCTTGCTTTACTGATAATATTATATGCTGTGGATATCCCTTTCTTTCATTTTCAATTAGTAAAACGTCTTGTCTTGCGTATTTTTATAATTGCAGAATACGAGACTTTTGTGTCATGAAGTCCTATAATGTAACAATCCCACATGGTTCCTTGAAAGCAGGATATTGTGTTCAATATTTGGGGAAGTTTTTTGTGGAAACTCCTGCGTCGTTTTTGTTAGTGCCAACATCTCAAGCTCAATGAAGAGTCCTTTTTCAGTGTCTTTACACTATATAGCCATGAAATCTTTGTCATTGTAAATTGTTAGTACAGAACGTTATTAACCCTCAGTATTAGTTGAAATCGAGAAGTCCGAATTTTAGGTAATATTGCAAATAGAAAGACAGATGTATACGTAGATGAGTGTGTTTGTGTGTGTAGATATGTAGTTACTCATCACACTGACATAAAAAAGCAAATACACAAATATGTTTGAAAACTTAGTCAACTAAAACGCGAAGAGCAGTCAACCAAATTTCCCATATTTATAACTAAAGACACATAAGAAATATGTTGTGTATGTGTTTTGAATGAATAAAGTATTATGTGAAAATAATCAGTTTTTTTTGTTTTGTTTACTCAATTTTTAAATGACATGTGAAGTCAGGTGTATATTCAATTAGACATTAGGGCAACAATAAATTCCTTTTTTTTTTCGTATGTTATATCCATCTGACGTAAAATTCCAGTTTGGCTTACCTGTTCACACGGGTGGCATCAAAAGCAGTTCTTCCATGTAACACTCGGCGGTTGTTGAAGGCGACATAGTCTCCTTCTTTTAGGTAAAACTTCATCTGGGATTCTGGTTCTTCCATCTTCTTACAGAACAACCTGCTCAAAATATTCCTTTTGTTAGACATGAAAAAAGTAACAATATCATCAAAAAGATTACAAAGATAACAACCTGCTCTGAATTTGTTTTTATTACGTTAATTCTGTAGAATATCAGCTTTATATTAATGTAGTTTCAAATATCAGCTTGATAGTAACATAGTTTCAAATTTCAGCTTGATACTAATGTAGTTTCATTTTCCTACCAAAAGAGCATTTCACAGAACCCTAGAAGCTTGCAATATAAGAACAAAACAAGCAGGTTCAAGTGCTTCATGTGATTAATTTCTATATTTTTACTATATTATCAATTCATAGAAGGTTAAGAACAACTCAAAACTCCCTTCTAGCAACTTAATATTCATGATTTGCACCCTAAACTCTATTGAAGACACGCTTTCCTGGTTGCACTTGAGATAAGTTTTTTCTTGTATTGATTGTTATCTACTATATGATGTTTTTATAATGCATAATGTACTTCTCATGACATAGTTGTAGATGGTCAAACCGTTGAAGGAATTCGTCAATTAGGATACAATCTAATGTCTGATGCACTTAAATAATCTATCCAATCACGTTCATTTTTAGGCTTTCACCAGTGGTTGAATGGTGCAGTTTTTCCTAATGTAATGACAAAGATATTTCCTTTTAATTAAAACTGTTGACACTCTGATAACAGATGTCTTTGAATAGACATTGAAAGAAATTATATTTTTGGTAACAACCACAATAGGTGGCGAGACATTTTCCCTTCTATAACAAAAATAAATATATATTTCTGTATTTTCTCTTATTTTTTCGTGCAGATGTATTGCACTTAACTAACATCCCAGTAAATAGGATGTAGAAACTTGTTAAATTGTTCATATCACGCCAAGATTGCATGCAACAATAGCAATTCAAGAGAACTTCCCCGTAGGTGTGAATGTCTGTCTGTTTATTTGTTTGTTTCTTATGAATTTCGAGCAAAGCTACATGAGGGCTATCCGCGCTAGCCGTCCCTAATTTAGCAGTGAAAAACTAGAGGGAAGGCAGCTAGTCATCACCACCCACCACCAACTCTTGGGCTACTCTTTTACCAACGAATAGTGGGATTGACCGTCACTTTATAACGCCCCCACAGCTGAAACGGCGAGCACGTTTGGTGGAACGTAGATTCAAACCCGCGACCCGCAGATACAAGGTTGTAAACTTGTGCTAACCCTTTTACTTGTTCTTAAGTCTCAATCTATGCTATTTTGTATGGACTTATTGGAATTTAACCTATTCAAACAGGTAATACAGGACTTGTACGGACTTATTTGGGATGGCCTACCATGGTATCTAAACTAAAGACTTATTAAATAATGCACTAAAGCTTTGCCTAAATATAAAGGTGGAATACTTCCTTGATTCTGTAAATTGTTTTTGGTTTCTTCTCTAGCTTTTGTTTTCGCCTTCGAAAACAGGAACTAGACAGTGTTCATATAAGCTGGAATCTGGCCAGTTCGATAACACATAACTGTGGTGTGAAGGAAATATTTTTATGTTTCTTGCATTTGCTTGTTATTCCTTTGATATGGCTTTCCATTCTTTTTATGAAAGATGGAAAATAATCTACATTGTAGAAATTATTTTCCAATAATTTTGAGCTGGAGTGGCAAAAGTCTGTGCTGCCGAGTAGTTGCCTAGTATAGTGTCAGTAAGCATTTCTACTTGTACTGTAGTTTTCACAGAGACAGGTAATGTAATGTAAATATTCATGAAGATTTAGCATTACTTCTCATACATTGAACATCATTATGTATCTAACACCTTAACTACCACTGAAGGCCACTGGTATATGAGTCTTCATTAACAGTTTGATCCTCTCTTTAACTACCACTGAAGGTCACTGCTATATGAGTCTTCTTTAACAGTTTGATGCCACTTTAACTACCACTGAAGGCCACTGTTATACGAGTCTTTATTAACAGTTTGATCCCCTCTTTAACTACCACTGAAAGTCACTGTCATATGAGTCGTCATTAACAGTTTGATCCCCACTTTAACTACCACTGAAGGCCACTGCTATATGAGTCTTCATTAACAGTTTGATCCCATTTGTTAACTGTATCTGCCACCAGATCTCTATCACTCCTAATTCACTCTGTTATACATGTTGTTTTTAGCCATATTTGGCAGGAGGAACTTTTTTATGTTTTGTTATATTTGACTATTGCCATCTTTTCCGAATGTCCAGGAGAATCCTGTTATCCCCTATAATTATAAACAGTTTGGTTTGACTAGCTGCTTCTATAAAGCCTTGGAAAAAGTATGTTTTTTTTTCAAAGCAAAGATCTATCATGAACAACTTTTAAAGACTCAAAATGTCTAACAGCGAAGCTTCAGTTAAAAGGGAGTTTCTGGGCCTTATATTTTTGACATGGAAAAAGCATAAGACATTATGCGTAGATGCGGTATTTTAAAATACCTTATTGTTTAAGAGTTATATGGCCATTTACTCAGTTGTATCAGGAGTTTTTTTAGCAAGTACATATTTTTTATGCCAGTATTGAACATTTGCATTCATGTTCCTTCCCACAGGCTCTGAGCAAGATTTTGTATTTTAGTTGTTACATTATTTTTCTATAATAATTACTACGATCATGAAACAATTTCCTCCATCAATTGATAATGCTGCTATGTTGATGCCTTTCAGACTTTCTATTCATCATTGAATAAGGAGGTTTATTGAGATATATCTCCAAACTGTTCCTACAAAAATATGCAAGTGAATTACTTTAAAAGGGTTTCAATTTTCACCATCCAAAAGTGTAAGTAATGAATATTGCACCAGACCAAAAGCTCCATCTGTTAGGTTAAATTATTTATAGAAATCAGAAACTAAATTCTTAGTACTCATGTTTGTCAGTGCGCTTACTTTAATTCCATATATAAGCCTGCCCAGGGTTAAATGAATATCATATGGATTCTCTCTTCCATGTCCTTTACGGTTGAAAGGTGTTCTTTGCTGTGGATCTATCGTGCCCTAATTTATACAAAGCTGGACTATGGCCTTCTCGTCTCTGTCTTCACCAGGTGTTATCCATTAAAATTGCTTGATCTTTCATCTAGGAACTGGAGCTTTTCACACTTATCCAGTCCAAAGTTTCTACTCAGAGTCCTTTGAACCTTCACTCAATATTAACTTCTGTTTTCATTGTGAAGTTACATGCAATCTTATTTGCAGTATATTGAAACCAAACAGTACTACAATCGCTGTACAATTTATATAAACTTGCTTAACTCAATGAAAGTCCTGGAATCACTCACTATTTGACCACATTCTGTTTTATGTCATTCCCATAATAATTCGTTCAATTATCATCACTTATTCAGTTTAGTTAAATACCTGGCAATGTTGGTATCTAGAGAATGATTTGACTAATATAGCTACTACAGTTGACCTACTGACAGTTTCTCTATATGGATTTTAAGCATACTTATGTAGATACTTCAAGGCAGTTGACAAAAGCCTTAGGATGAGAAGCAGTCTAAAATGATTTCCAAATAAAATCCTTTTGTAGAATGCTTACTATCTTGTCAGTACAACGTTTATAAGGAATAAGCTGTTTAATGAAACTTTGCATTAGTCATAACTTTTAGGACACAGTTATATTTTACTGGAGATTGACCATCTCTGTGAGAGTTGCGTGACGCTCACTTAACTGTTGCCTGCTGTCACTTTGACGTTCTACAGTGGGTGTCTTAAGACATTTTTATCCTAACAATGAACATTTTATACTGTCCATTGAAGGCAATTATCATCCTGGTAGTGGTGTTGCTTTTTATAGATCATTGAACTTTATTATTTGTTTTACAATTGAATTTGATGCTGATTGTATTGATTTTATAAACAATTGTTGTTCGTTTATTGCTGGCACAGTTTTAACACAGTTGCTTTATAAACACATTTTTACATACATGATGTCCTTTTATTTAAGGTAGACATTGACATTTATTATGAAGTTCTTGTTTTTCCCGTTAACGGTTTCACTACTTTTCGGTTCTTAGGCATTTCTATTTTGTTGATGCTTATAATTTTACATTTCCTATTTAAATATTTTATATTCGTTGTTAAATATATTTGCTTCTATCTTTGGCGCATATGGCTTTTGTCACCATGCACCAGCAAACCCTAACTTTAACTATCATAATTCTAATTCTGTTTATTCCAAACATAAATTACACAATAAACATATACTACAAATTTTAGATGAATTTCCTACTTACCAAACCTTATAAAGAAATTATGAAGAGTAAAATGCCTAACTAACACATGTCTCCACGGAAATGTTGTTTACAAAGTTCTCTAAATATACAGCAGCTGTAGAATAGTGAAAATTACTGAAGTTTAAAATATGTAACTCAAAAAATGATATCACTGACAAACACGGACCAATAAATCCACCATAACAGTACACGAAGTTGATATGACCAAAGAACCATAAACCTATTTACAAAGGATCTAAAGGATAAGCAGATGGGGTTTTACAATATCTTAAAGAATGACAAAACAAGCATTGAGAACTTAAGAATTAAGCATCAACAATCTTTGACATCCCTAATCAACATATCTAAAGACCTCTGTCAGACATATAAGCCATATACGGTATATGCATATTTGGTTTAGTTTTGATTGTATGTAACTCTGAATATTAGATTAATTATGCAATGGCAGATCTATTATTAGCATGTTTTTGCTTCTCTTTTATATAATGAAGCTAATATAAGCCTGCATATCAACTACTTAATTAGTTATTGCATATCACACATACGTTTTTCTGATGTATCACATACATATTACTAAACTCACTGGTATGCTTCATAAAAACTTGTAATTTTATCTTCGGCAATTTCTGGAGGTGACATTGAACGATTGTTGACGTGGATTTCCTTGATATTTCCCTGGTAGTCTATTCCAATGAGAGGACAAGCACTAGTATACCATCGCTGAAAGGTTGAAAAATAAAAGCTTTTACATCACATATCACTTCAAATTAAAGTTGAAAAATGAAGGATTCCATAAATAATAAGAATATAAACGGAATCTTTTATATTTAGACAAGACTTTTCTCACGTATACTTATCGGTTTAATATTATTTTGTCCCCCGGTGGGTTTGTTTGTTTGTTTGTAATTAAGCACAAAGCTACACAGTGGGCTATCTTCTATCGTTGTAACTCCGCAGACATACCGCTGTGACACTGGCGCCCCCGGTGAGATAGCTGTAAAGTTACAGACTTACAATACTAAGATTCGAGGTTCGATTTCCACACGGTGGATACAGCTGATAGCCCAATGTAGCTTTCTCTAAAACAAATATTATTTTATGATATTGATCAGTAGACTGATAAAGTAAAAATTACATTTATTCACTGAGTCATCAATTAATATATTACTATGCCAAATTGTAACAAAATATAAATGATGACTACAGAAATGTACTTGCTGTTTTTGTTGTGCAATGTCTGTCTTATGAAAGAAAATATTGTAGACATAAGGAATTCGTTTTTTAACCTTAATAAGCATTTAATTGAAATTAATTCTACATTTTCTCACTGTAAAAAGTTGAAACAAAGCAAATATTAATGATAAGAACAACTGTGAGTATATTACTTGCAAAACGTTAAAATTTTAAAATATAGAATTAGTTTATTAACAGAACAAAAGATAGCTCATTCACGGAATAAACCTGTTTAATTTACTAAAGAATAACATATTAATTAATTCAAAGTTGTTCGCTTCATTGGGATAATTACTGGGGTTTCAAGGATTGAGCCAAAACAAATATAGTGCTTGTTCAATTTCAAAGACATACGTGGAACAGGTTTTGATACATTACATGAGTTCGTGCTTGCAGAAAATAAACTGTAGTTTCGTGGTTTCGAATATATTTTTATGTGACTACTTTTGATAATTCAATAAAAAAATATTTATTTACCTCTAAATTAGCCAGTTCTAGCTTCACAGTGAATTTCAGACGACGAATAGTATATTTTATAGATCAAACTAAGTGTAAAAGCATATATAGTCAGTTTTCACTGTGTTTATATGGGTTTGCGTGTTTTTTTAACTAGAATATCTATTTCTTAGAGAAAATCAGTGGTTTTCACGATTAATAATTGATTTGTACCAGAATTAATTGGTTTAATAAAATATATATTTCACTGGAAATAATTTTGTGTTTGCTAAAAATTAGAGAAATGAAAAATAACAATAGTGTTTTAATTTGTATTAATTTTAACACATTATGTGATATAGTAATTAGTCATTATCAAGAATATTATATTCATACTAAAACATGAAAAATAAGATAATGAGGTTTAATTTCAACCCACCCATTAAAATAAATCTAGAACTAACGCCACATTACTTTGTGTTATTCACATTCTATTTTGGTGGGCAGAGCACAGAAAGCCCATTGTGTAGCTTTGTGCTTAATTACAAACAAACATATTATATTTAAATTTACGATGAACATAATTAATTATTGTGTCCCACATTCAAAGGTTACGTATAAATACACGAAGAATGTGGAAAAGACCTTGGAAACGACTTGTCTCTTTCACAACTAAGACCTTACTTTAATTGGGAACAAGCCCATCTTTGGTGTTAATCATATTTAAAACTTATCATCACATTTGGTGAAATAGACCGATATTCCTCTTGAAAGGCATCTATAATATGAGCAATTATATCTTCGGCTGACCTTTCAAAATGTAACAGAGGAGCTCAGTTAGGTTCAATATATTATTTGTTTCAAACTGTTACAGAACACCGGATGTTGTAAAAAATGGTGTATTGTTATGCTAAAATGCGTGTCATTCCACAAATAATTTTGTTTTCGTAAGGGATAAAGTTAGGTAAGAAGATACCCTTCAGTAAGACGGCCGCACATCAACTATGACGAGTTGCCAGCAGAGTGAATTGTTTGTAATTATTATTCACGTGAACCCTTGCATAAACACACAGGCAGTAGGTCGCGAATGATTAAAGCATGATTTCAAAATCCCCTTAAAAACACAGTTCAAGCTCACTGATTTTTTACAAACATGAGATTTATTTACGGTGAATGACTTAGAGTAACACACACACACTCACTCACTCACCCATTTTACCCTAAGCAAATGACATATATTTTCGCCAAAGACTTCAGTTGCAATGTATATCATTGCCAATGCTAGTACCATGTTGCTTTGTGCCATTGTCTTAGACATTTACCGGAAACATGTAAGTGATTTACATTAGGCAAATTCCAGTTGTCATGAACTAAATGGGAGCCATTTTACTTCATCTTAGAAATCCGTTTTACCAAACTTTATAGGTAAGACGGTCCCCAAATACACAAAAGTGCATTTTTTCAATATATAGAAAAAATTTCGTCAAACTTTCTTGTAAATGACGTTTATAATAAAACAGAGTTCATTCAAAAACATTCATCTTTTCATAATATTCATTTTAGTTGGTGAAAACCAAATTCAAAATTAAAGCGACCATCTTAATTAAGCTTCCCTTATAGGTAGTGTATAATTTTCTAGAATTACACCATATGCTAAAGTATTCATGACTTACTTATCTAATACTACACGACTAATTCAACTATATTAGGCACATATCGTGATACTACTGTCATTACCCATGAAGTGTGTTGCAAGTCCATGTCTGTCCATTCAAAGAAGACAATAAATAGTAGAATTTATTGCTTGTTATAATGGTTTTCCATTTTTCTTCACCCTAGGTTTAACGTTCAAGGCACCATGAAAGCCTGCAACTTACATTCACAGCTGTAGTTAGCGGCTTATGGGCTACAGTCTCTTTTTGACGGTAGGGTATCAGTCCTGAACTGTCATTAAGTCTTGAGCAAGAAGTTGAATGCCAGCAGTGTGTCTTCATTTACAACACGCTTCAAATTTGAAAGGCAAAGCCAAGAAATTATTAATTTTCGACAGTGAAATGATATTTTTCTTTAACAAAACTCTTGTTCACTTGTCAGGCTGAAAAGTTCCAAATTCTCTAATCACTAATTATGCATCAGTTAATCAATGAACTCCAACTAGCTGTACAAGCTACTGACCGTTATATACACCCTATGCAACAATGTGGCCATGGAATTCAAATGCAACATACATGAGGACGAGTGGATTAAGATCTGGGAAGCACTATCCCAATACTTTGGTAATACAAAGTAAACTTGCTTGTAATGACACAATATTTTTAATTTAGGACTATGTATAAATACTTACACCAATGACTGCATAGAATATGTACATCAGTAACTGTATCTATTTATGTATGCCAGCAAGAACTTATATGTTGGAATGTGTGATTCTCAGGTGTCACTGGAACAAACAGATAAGTAATTAAAAGTTCATAAACAGGAGGTTGAGGAGGAAATAAATAAACTGCTGAGGATAAATCAAGTATAGAAAGTAAAGGGATGACTGAAACATAAATTTAACAATAAAAATATATTTATCTAGCACTTAAGTCTTATAACTAGGCAGCTTCATTATTATTTATAACCATCTGGCTGCTGAGACAGAAAATGAATCAAATTACATCATTACCAAAACAGAAAGGATTATATGTCTATCAGATATACGACAAAATGATTATACCCGTACTACACTTTCAGGTCACATGGAAGACCTAGAGCGGTATTCAAAAGTCCTAGATTAGATTCGTTTATGGTCATTATTGTTTTACATATTCAAGAGGGAATTAACTCCCCTAATAACGTGCCTAAATCTATGTACCACCCGTTCAGTTGAGTGTGACCCACATTTCAAGAGAAAAATGATATAAAACTTAGCTATATGAATGTAAGCTCTGTGTAATATGACCTGTAACTATAATTTTAGACGAGTATTAAAACAATTTTATGATTACTGATATCCTAAATACAGATCACCAGTTCAAAACATTTTAAAATATTTTTGCATAACTACAAAATTATTTTTTATTGTGAAATGTCAAGATCAAAACATGACAATTTTTAAATGCCATAGCTGTAACTTGTAAAATTTCAAACAAGAAAATGCTGGTCTTCGAAAAACATCTCTGAAAGTACACCTTGCTACTGAATTCATACTTACATACGCTGTGATTGGAATAGTAGAGAGAATGTGAAAATATTCTGGGTGGTTCTCCTTCAGCCAATTGGCAGCGTAGTAACCGTCATTGAAAACAGACATTCCTCCTGCTTCGTGCGTACCTGCTACTAGCGAGGAGTTTATACAGTGAAGTATCTGGATCCCTGGAAGTGTGTGAGTATGTAAAGTAATTCATTTGTATTAATAAGTAAATCTACAAACAAACTTATGAATCAGGAAAGAAATATTACGTTTCTGGTTTATCTTTTTTTTTAATTGACTTTTTGAATGTGGAGTCTTGGTGATTTTAATTCTCATTTATTTAATTTGAAATATTAACCTGCCGAGAACAGAAGAAACAAACACTGATGTCTGGTCGGGTGTTCTAAGATCAGTTCAACCACATAAATAACATTTGATATTACAGTCACTAACCAGGTGATTTTTCCTTATAGGGAAGATCTGTATGTTGTTCCAAAGCAAATCCAGTATAGGCAAGATGAAGACGTGGGTCGGTAGGTATAAACTTGACATTGAAGCTTTTTCCGTACATGGTGGGTGTTACAAAACTAAAACGTTCTGTGGTTTTTATTATTCCTTCTTCTGTTGTGGGCGTTCCTAAAAAAAACGAAGAGTTTTGTCAACCCTCTAAACTTTATAGACGTGATTTAGTAAAATTTATTTTTGTGAACATTTTTTATGCATCAGTTCGTAATCACCAATAATAGTTGCTTCGATAAGAGCTGATTGGTCATTTAAATATTAACAATATACTTAGTCAGGTTATTGTAAAGTAATAATATATCTCCGTGTAAATCGATAAATTTTAAACATATTGTAAATAACTAAGCACTAAGCTCAGATATTTTGAAGAAAACGTTTTTCAAATATATAAAAATAAATTGTATAAATTTCACCCTCTCTTTAAAATACATGGTTTTAGAAGTGGCACAGCGGTATGTCTGCGGACTTACAACGCTAGAAACCGGGTTTCGATACCCGTGGTGGGTAGATCACAGATAGCCCTTGTGTAGCTTTGTGCATAATTAAAAACAAACAAACAAACATGGTTTTAGCATTATGATATTTGTAGTTTTGAAAGTTTGTATTTCTTAAACGTAAGTATGCCATCTTGGTATGCAAATGTGGAAATCTATTTTTTCTTGTTTATTTGTTTTTTCACATACACATCAATATACTGTAATATTTTTTTAATCTGGAGTGTACGTGCTATTGGGACTTACCTTTAATCAAAGCAATGCCATATTTAATCATTGCTTCCAGAAAAGCCTTCAAACCTTCGTCAGTTTCCATAAAATCCTCATATTGGATGGTAGGTGGTTTCCCAGTGGGGAATGTGTTAAGATTCCAGTACTCTACTGACGGGTGGATGTAGCGACAAATATTGGCCGAATCGCGAAAACATTTGGAATACTCATACAGCCTGCAAAAGATATTTCACACTAACTCGTGATTCTCTGACTGAAACAGCTATTGTTAGAGTGATATTCATTCATTACGTAACTTTGAAGCAAGAAGTTCAACTTAGATGAACATATTCATTCGAGTTTATTTTTATTGTGAACTAAAACAACATAAACGTTTTTTTTTATTTTCCTGTGAGATGATAACAATATTTATATAGACACAGCTAAAAATTATCAACACATGTGTATTTATAACACAGCTAAAAATTATCAACACATGTGTATTTATAATTACATCCTTTGAATTTTAGTCAAAAAGTTTCCCTTGCTATTTATTTTACGTACAAAATGCATAAATACAACAAATATTGTTAGGTGTAGCATTAATAATATCTATAAATAAAAATATACGTTGAATAGAAAGTTTTTCGGCCTTAGATTCTATCGAAATTTCGTCTTAACTAAACGTTTCTTAAAGCAAAATTTGACAATATTTAATATATGAATAAAAACTACAAAAGTCTAACCTGTACAGAAACTGCCATCTCAGAATATTGGTGTTTGGTAACAGTAATCATATGAAATGTTTTTGTTGCTATGAGGATGATTTGTCTAATTCTGTCAAAACCTTTCAACTTTTCCAACATCACTTAATGATTGTTTTGAATACCCACTTAGAATCACAGACTTAAGATATTATCAAGACATCTTGACAATCCAATATCTATTTGGTTTTGTGACATGAGTGATAAATTTATAATGCTTAAAAATTACTTAGGAGTATATTTTAGCTAACAAGACATAATGCTCAGTAGGCCAGTAGACTTATGAAGAGCATTGTAAAAATTATTTAATTAGTGGTAGCTAAGATAAGATTTCTTACGATTGTTTCCGAAGTTTTGAATGTTTATACAGCAAATTTTACTTGGCTCACCACCTGACTGTCTTACATCAACGTATATTAATCAACACATTATAATAATAATCGCTTTTTAGTTTGTATGTCTTAAATAAATATAGATTTTATGTTTTAAATACATTACATTTTTCTCACGTAAATTTATTATAGTAATACAGACATTTCATACAAATAAATTATTGGAATTTATGAAGTGGGTTAAAATATGAACAATATAAACGACCTTCAGACAACGACATTCTCAAAATTCAAATGGAGCAAACCATGGTGTTTACTTTATTAAATTTGTGTGAAGGGTGATGTGTACAGCCTGTAAAGGTAAGAAATCACTCATTGTTTCCTTTAATTATATGTTTGTACCATTTGATATCATAAGCACTTTTGTGAGTTGAACTTCCATCAGAAGATATCCATTCCACCTCCACTTGTCCCGTTTCATTAACCCCGACATTTTTTGGTCGCGTTCCGAGATCTAAGTTCACAGTATCAACAATCTTCTGAAGTGTCTGAGGATGAATACATTCTGGACATTGACAGTTGTCTCTTAGCTGTGTAAATCAAATAAAAATTAAGTTAAAATTACTTATACATTTATAAAGCTGTACACTAGTATCACTAACATGTCTGAAGCACAGCGTTCACAAAAAAATTCGAATATTACAAAATGACTTAATTGTTTCAAAACAAAAAGGGACAAAATCTAATACAAGTAAGTTTTATAGATAAGATTTGATTTGTAGTTCAACATTTCTCAAAATGAGATAATTAGAATCATCGTGTATTCAATCATAGATGCATTTTTACATTACACAATCGAGTGTAAAATATTTTATGTGTAATAAATTGATGTTAACATGTATACAAAACTTCACGTATTACGTAATTTCCTTACGTTTTGCATAAAAAATATTTACCCATATATTTTTAAAACAGCAAGACATATTGTCACTGAATTCCACATGTACGGTGTCAGGCTGATTCACTTTAACTGCAGACACTGTCACCTGCTGATCTTGGCGTTGCGTTTTGGCAAAGGTTGCTGCCCAGCTGTAAGCTGAAGTTAAACTAATATATTAGATTGTATTTAATGTCTTACTTTTTCAAGAATTTTAGAGAAACCCAGAAAAGTAATGTATAAATAATAAACTTATTAGATTGACCACAAGTGAGCTTATTGTCGAGTTATACAGGAGGATAGTATACTTCAATTACATTACTGCAATATTCAAATTTATATTCTGTCGGTGAAAGATGACTGAGAACAACACCTGATCTACATTATAAACTGGATAGAATTAGATTATGTTAACTTAATGCTTTATATTTCTGTGTTTTGTATTTTCTGTTCCTGAAGTTTGTAAGTGGCATTATGGTGGTATTGTAAAGTCGACAAGCAGTCACATGTATTGAATGTTAGGTCAGTTTAGCACGTGAGAGTTTAAGCACACTTACCTTGCCCGATTTTCTTATCGTTCTCATTTGCTTCCATAATCGTTTTTGTTTTTATCTGCGATTTGGAAGTCAACTGATTGATGAAACCGATCACCTCTAAAACATTTAGATATTTTTCAGTTATCTTCCTCCAACTTTAGAACTTTATACCTTTTGCAGCTACTCTGTAACTGGTTTAAAAATATCCCTCTTTTTGTTTACGCGATTGGAAGACATTTATGATTGATCATATTTTTAAAAAAGTGGTTATCAATATAATGTTTCCTTGTCTCATAGCTGGAAGCTTAAAGGCTTCTAATATTGAAATTAATAGCTTAATCCCTGTGGCGGACACAGCACTGATAGCCTACTGCCTAGCTGTATTTAACAAATGTTGTCCTAGAATAAAGTTATATATTTTTAGGCACGGCATAGCGGCTCAAATAATGGCTCTGAGTTTGTTTGTTCTTCTAGCATCAGATCGTCAAGAAATTAATGTCGCGTTTTGGAACACTTTCATTAACCACACCCCAAAAAAACGTACATCACGTATAATAGTTAAACGAACCGCCTAAACGTTACGTTACTGTAGCCTATTTAATGTTTAAAGTTTAATATACTGTAAT